TTCTGGTTTTAAATGAATTATGTATGAGTCTAGTATCATCTGGGTGTTCAAAGATAGTTTACTGCTTGAAGAACTTATCAATGGACCAACTAATTATAAAACAGTTTTTAATGAAAATAAAAACGAATTATCAAAAGATTTAAATCAGCTATTTGTGTATATTTAAACACTTTATTTTTTGTGAGAAGAGATTATTGATATAAGTACCATAAAATAATTCTACTACCAAAAGCTAGGTTAATTCAAAACCTTTAACTCAATTTTGGTCATGAATTATTTTATTAGAATTGATGAGTTTTTATTTATTAACTACCTAACACCATATTATTAGAACTTTATTTTGTAATGTAATGATTTTATCAGCGTTCCAAAATAATTTTCTAAATCAAGAACTTCTATATTAAAAAAAGTACTCATTTAACAACTAATCCCCCCTTATAACAACGTTTTTCATAATTTTGCGAAAAATGTGGTTTGCTTTCACAATTCGATTAAGGCTGTTTTAGTTAACCTTAAATAATTAAGTAAGGTTTTTTTGTTTTCATTATTGTCAAACAATTAGTGTATTTGATAATAACTATTAGGAATATATTTTTCTAATTTTTTTTTGATAAAAAGTAACATCAAATTACAAAAATTAAGCCAAATTCAATATATGTCATATTTATTCTAAACTAAAAGAAGTTTTTCTACTAATGCATTAAATGTCATAAGGTAAAACATTTTATTGATGTCTTAATTGTTTTTACAAAACAAAATTACCTCTTATATTTCAAAAGTTATAAAAGTTTTAGTAACACCCCTTTAGTCAATATTTTCAAAAATTAACAAGAAGCCGTTAAGCTCGGTTTGAAACAGCCGTGTATGATAGGAAGAAGACTAATAGGAAGGTTGTTAGACAAATCAGATCGCTCTCCAGAATTTTTAAAAATAGGAATAACAGATGCTGCTTTCCAGCAGGCTGGAAAACTAGATTCTAGAAAAATAAGACTCTAGAAAAATAAGCACTTGTTGAATAGTTTTGAAAGGATAGACGATAGCTCCAGAGAACACTTCTGCAAGACTATAACAGGTATGTTGTCCGGGCCAAAAGCTGTAGAAGAGTTTAAGTAGGAAATCACTTTAGATACAGAAAGTTGGAGTGATACGAATGTCAAGTAATAGATCAACCAGCTTGACGGCTATATCAGGTAAAACGCAACTATGTTTTCAGGATAATTTTTTTGCTGATAGATATGGAAGTAATAGTTTCCATTGGCAATTGCAGCAGCACAACGTGAGGAAAATCATGGAGAAGAGTGAGGCTTAACTTGAAATCGTTGAGAGGGAATAAAGGATTCCATGCCAGCCTGAATCCACGAAGTTATGTAAGAAGCACATTTGTCAACAGGACGACAAAAGATTTCTAACCAAGGGCAATCACGAAGAAAATACATACACATTATGTGTATGTGTGTGTGTATTCATTTAAATTTAAATATTTTTATTCAGTCAATTGGGTTACTATTTGTATTAGTTTACTGTGTATATCTTTGTTCAGTAATACTTCACTGGCTATTTCTATAGTTCAGTTAAGCATCATGAAAAAAGATTTTTCTAATAAAAGTTTTTCTATATCTCAGAAATTTTTTTTATTACTCTAAAGTAATAAAAAAAAGCTGGACTAAAAAGTTAAAGACAATTTTATTATCATAACAATGACATAAAACAAAAATTTAAACATAAGTTCAGTGACGCAACGTGGATAAAAGTGCTTCTTTATCAGCATATTTAAAATCGGAATTTTCTCTAAAACTTAGCATTTACTTACAGTAATTTGTAATTAATTTAGTTATTTATTCATTTGGCAATCAGACAATCATAACAAAAACCTCAAACAATCAAAATTTTATACTGAACTATTTTACAAAAAAAAAACTCTATTCTATTACTAAAAAACTCTATTCTATTGACTATTTACTTTAGTGAAGTTACAGTTTTACACTATCAGTTTTAGTAATGATTTAATGTGATTTTGATATATCAAAGTCACATTAAATCATTTAGCTATAAAAAGATAATTGTCTCAGAAAACTAAGAAAGCTATATGAGACAATTATCTTTGTCTCATATAGCTTTCTTACATAAATAACAGATATTTGCAAACCTTGTAATGCTGACACATGATCACATTTAATTTCGCACTGATTAGATTTGATTCTCACCATTTTAATTTTCTTAACAGTAGCTCCATATCATGTGCATTGCTGCAAAGAAATGCTAACAGCAGTAGCTTTAATTCCATCCACTTCTTTCCTGCCAATTGCTGCAAAGAAATGCCAACAACAGTAGCTCTAATTTCATCCACTTCTTTTCTGTGCAATGCTGCAAAGAAGTGCCAACAACAGTAGCTTCAATTCTGTCCACTTTTTTACTGAACATTGCTGAAAAGAAATACCAACAACAGTAGCTCCAACTCCGTCACTTCTTTCCTATACATTGCTGCAAAGAAATGCAAGAAAATTTTTTTCTTGAAATGTTTTTCAAACACAACCATTGCAGCCATGCTTATGTTTTTAAACTGAGAAGTGGCATCGTCACAGAACATATGTACTTTATTTGACTAGACTTTAGAAATATAGTAAAGGATTTAGTTGATGTATGATATAACTAAAGACTTTGTATGATCAGTTAAATCGGAAACTATAGCAAATGTTTTTACCTCAATGTCCTAGACTGCAAGGGTCATGAGTGAAACTTGGTTTTAACCAAGATGAGCCACTTGCGGTTTATTTTGATATTTTTCATATATATATATATATATATATATATATATATATATATATATATATATATATATATATATATATATATATATATATATATATATATATATATATATATATATATACAGGCTTGGTCGGGAAGCGGGAGCGATCGCTCTCGATTGCTGACCACGTAAATAATATTTAGTTGCGAAAAGCTGGCCATATTTTTTAGTCGTTTTGAGAACATTTTAGAAAGCAAAAAAAAAAAAAGCGACAAAGATTTAATTGGACCGATGAGAGACATATACAAAAGAAAAAAAAAGTAGGCAAATAAAGTATCTTTAAACGCGAAAAAACTTTAAGCTAAATAAATTACATTTAGAATAAATATTTACGAAACATCGCTTTTTATAAATTTTTTTATAAAATTAAGCGATGTTTTTTATATAAAGTAACAACTTACGATTGTTTAAAATGGAAACAAATACTCTTTATTTAACTAAGTTTGCAAGTTTTAGTTTTACTTAAGCTTAATTTATTTTATAAATAAAAAAGTTAATTTTTTTAATACCTATTTTATGTTTCGCGTAGTTTGAAAAGTTTAACATATTTAAAGCGATTCTTCTTAGTAATATAAACAAATGAAATAATTAAATCACTGAATTACTATAGGAATTAAATTATCAAGATAGAAATCAACTAAAAAGGTTAAAAATACATAATGACCAGGAAGCGAAACTGCTTCACAATATCACTTATGATGTTTAGTGAGTGGGTTTTTAATTTTAATTAGTATTTAAAGCAGAAAAAAGTATAACGAGTTTTAAGAATGGCAACTTAAGCGAAAATAATAAGAGTTAGTAAACCAATATCTAGAAACTTTTCTTTATTTCTAATTATTTGCTATTATATATTTGTGTTCTGTCGTGACCTCAGGCGCGATGCTTGTTCATCCGCGAGTTACTTTGTATGCACTGTTTGTGTTAAGTAACCAGAAACTTCTTATATGTTTGTTACATAATTAGTTTTATTAACTTTTACGATAATAACTTCATTGAAAACGCAATTATTTTTGTAAGTCTTTGTTTAAATTATGAAAATTGCTTTAAAAGGTATATTACGATAAAAAACAAATACACAAAATTACGTTTACATAAAAAATACAATCTCTTTTAAAATAAAAAATAAGAATATACTAATAAAACCTATGATTTATAATAAACTTTTAAAATTTTAACAATTTAATTAATATATATTTAAAACATTTATTTTCGTAAACAAATAATATAAATTCTTAAAACAATACTAGAAATCTCAAAACGTAACAAATCGCGAATAATACAATTTCTAAAACATTTTAACAGAATACTCTAGAACTTTATTTCGCTTAATCAGTGTATTTTTTGAACCAATAGAATTAGTTTGTTTGTTAATTTGGCGGGTTTTTAGTGTTCGCAAATATTCTTTTTATTCTTTCGCACGAAGATAATTTGAAAACATTCTAGTTTATTATGTTTCCATGTATGTCCGTAAAACAAAAATTCTGTGTTTCGTACATAAACTTAAATGTACTCAAAACGACTAAAAAACCTGGCCAGTTTTACGCAACTAAATATAATTTCCGTGGTCAGTATTCGAGAGCGATCGCTCCCGCTTCCCGACCAAGCCTGTATATATATATATATATATATATATATATATATACATATATATATATATATATATATATATATATACATATATATATATATATATATATATACATATATATATATATATATATATATATATATATATATATATATATATATATATATATATATATATATATATATATAAATAATTTACATACAAATCACACTGGAAAACCAGAACAATACTAAAAACTTGAGAAAGAAAAAACTAAAAACTTGAGAAAGATAGTTTTTTTTAAACTAGAAGTAGTCTTAGTAAGTTTTTTAACTAAGACTACCTAGTCATACCAAAACCCAACAAAAATCAGTTGATGTTTGCTCCACTGCACCTATCCCGAAATAATTTGGTCAACAAGCAAACACATTACTGCATGTAAAAATAAAACAAATAATAAAGAAAAAATGAAAAAAGAAAATTATTATTTTGGTTGCCATAGTGTTTGTTGTTAAATCATGGTGCATAAAAAATCAATTTAATTATTATATTAAAAACAATGTTATCAATATACCATATAATAAAGCTATACATAAAAAAATCATAACTAAATGTGACAATTACCTTGTCATAGTAGTATAATGAACAATAGCTAAGAGTAGTTATCAAAGGCTTCTTTATTATGCTTCTTGCAGCTTTAGAAGTTGTGTTTTCAAGAGAGTTTATCCGTTTGATTTCATCCTGAAAATTAAAAAAACATTTCTAGACAAAATTTTTATAAAGATACAAAAAGTCTTTAAAAATACATTATGACAAGAAATGGAGGTGACTTTGTTAAAATCCTGAATTTTAAAATAACCTTTGATTATTTTTGGGTTATAATAGCAAAACTTATAAATAAAAGTTATAAATAAAATTATAAAACTTATAAACAAAAGTTATAAATAAAATTATAAAACTTATAAATAAAAGTTATAAATAAAATTATAAAACTTATAAACAAAAGTTATAAATAAAATTATAAAACTTATAAATAAAAGTTATAAATAAAATTATAAAACTTATTGACTTAATTTGTGTATTTTTTTTTTTTTTTTCTAAAATTACAGAATTTTTTTTTCTAAAATTACAGAAATGGTAGCAAGTCTTTGTACTAAATATTAAATAGCTATCTTTCAATCTTTTTGACTTTTTCAATCTGATGGATGAATTTTCAAAAAAATATGCATTTAAAAGTCAATTTTAATAGTAGTACATTTTGGTGAGCTTTACAAAATAACTATGTGTACATTAATTATTTAATCAATTATTATTTATTTTATAGGTACATTCAATATTTCTAACTAATTTTTTTACATTTATAAAACTCCTATATTTTAATACATTTTGTGTGAGATTTTTCCTTTGAAACAATCCATGTTTTTTTGATAAACTTCAGGTGAGATTTTTCTTTTGAAACAAACTGTTTTTTTTAATAGTTTACATGTGAGATTTTTTTTGAAACAATCTGTATTTTTTTGATACATTTCTTTTTTATTTTTTATCATCATTTCCAACAAACAACCACTAGTTAGAGTTGGAAGTTACTGGAAGAGAAAAGATGAAGATTGTAGAGCAAGAAAACGACAACTTAAAAGATTTATATGAATCACAAGCTGTAGAAGCAGGAAATCACTTTAGATACAGAAGTTGGAGTGATAAGAATGTCAAGCAATGGATCAACCTGTTTGACGGCTATATCAGGTAGAACGCAACTAGTGGAATCAAGAGATGATATTGATGAAAAGTTCTTGGCAAACAATTCAGCTTTGTCTTTAGGTGAGGTGACAAAATCTGAACCATACAAAAGAGATAGAATTACAGACTTGCTCTTATTATTGATACTATTAAAGATTCTCCAGAAGTCACAAGAGCCTAATTTTTGTAATGAAATACAAGATTTTATGACCTGAGAATAGCGGACTTTGGCATTAGACAAAACCTTTTTACAATGGTTCCTAGCAGTAATAAACAGATGTCTGTTTTCTGGAGAATTATTTTGCTGATAGATATGGAAGTAATAGTTTCGATTGGCAATTGCAGCAGCACAATGTGAGGAAAACCATGGAGAAGAGTGAGGCTTGACCTGGAATCGTCGAGAGGGAATAAAGAATTCCATGCCTGAATCCACGAAGTTATGTAAGAAGCACATTTGTCAACAGGAAGACGAAATATTTCTACCCAGGGGCCATCACGAAGAAAATCCTGAAAAGAGTCCTAGTCAGCTTTAAGGTAGTTGTTAGATGTACGATGATAGGGGGAGTCTGATGATAAAAAAGAATGAGATAATAGTTTTAGAGAGATCAAACTGTGATTAGAGGCACCTAAGGGTTAACGTGGAGAAACTGAGCACTGACTAGGATCAGAAACAAGACATAAGTCGAGTAGAAAAGGCAAATGATTCGGGTTGTCTGGAAGGCAAGTTGGAAAGTTAACTATTTGAGTTAGGGATTGAGAAAGGCAAAAGTTGTGGGCTTTAATACCTGCAGAGTCACTGACACTAAAGCCAAGCCATTCAGTGTGATGAACATTAAAGTCACCGGCAACAACAATATTGGCTGGTGGATAAAGATAGAGGGCTTGGTCAATATGATCAGAAATAACATCAAGAAGAGTGCAGTCTTGAGACAAAGGAGAGCAATATAGAACAAAGAGAAAGGCGATAGAGTTAAGTGGTGCTAAACGAAATCACATAAAAGAGTAGTCTGTGGATTCAAACCTAGTTTCTCGTCAAATAGGTGAATTCTTACAAATGTAAATGCCCAGGCCAAGCATATGACTATTAAAGTCTTGACGAATTACAGGAAGATCAACACTAAGATTACAAGATTAGAACCATTAACACTAAGATCACAAGATTAAACAGCTGAACTCAAATTAGATTTTTCGTGCTTTATATTTTTTGTTATTTTATTCATTTTTAAATTTGTTAAAGAACTTGACTCAAAGCATAGATAGTACTCAGTACACTATTTAATAGCCCAAGCAATTGCCTCATTACTATTAATAAACCCTAAGCCATAACAAAGGGCTTCGATGTGGCCTTGGCAATGCACACCAAAAGTATAAACAGGGACACCATCCATGCGCAACATGGCACTGTTAATACTTTGATATTTTTCAGCTGTTGATGGAATCAGCCTCTCTGAGAGCTACCACAAAGTTCGGTAAATTTGATTACCAGCCGGCCTCAGAACCATAAAACTGAGTTTTATAGCTGTACCTACATTAGGAGATAATAGAATGAGTTGCCTAGTCATAAAAACAGAGACACAAGCAAAACCCATGCATAGTGTCAAGAGAATCCAGTATTCAATATCCTAAGTTGGAAACAATGTATTAAAAATACATCTGCGCCAGCCTAATAGATGGAGAAGGGGTGCGAGGCTGGTCAACAGATAGAATCTGTTTACCCCTTAAGTCTTTGCCTAGAAGGCCTTCTACAAGACAGCAGCTGGATGCATTTTACATATGCCCAAGATGAGTATTTTTATCGAGACACCATCTCTAGCCTTTACTCAACCAAGAGCCCAAGACAGGGGGTGTTTTATGTCGGAGTTGTCACCATCTCCTAGCCTTTGCCTAAAAAGGCATATAAAAGGCAGGACATGAATCAGATTATACTGGGTTACATGTTATCAGTAGCAGGATAACCTGAGCTGACTTGTTAATTATTGTTAAATTTTTTAAATCGTATATTTTTTAAATTGTATATTTTTTAAATTGTATATTTATTGTTAAAATTTTTTAACAATAAATTATTGTTATATATTTTTTTTAATTATTATTTACCTCCCGAAGGCCCGAGGGGGCCACTACAGTAGAGGAGGCTACTCATTTTTTTTATTTTTATTTTTTATTTTTTTTATTTTTATTTTTTTTTATTTCTTTTATTTTTATTTTTTTTATTTTTTTTATTTTTTTATTTTTGTTGTAAATCGTGGTACAACCCTCTCTCAACTCTTTAACTCAGAAACACAAACCTTGACAAGCAAGGCCGCTGCGTGGAGAAATTAAGTTGAGCACGGTACTTCCAGGGAGGTGGTGGGAGTGGAACTCCGAACCTCTCGCTTACAAAGCGAGCGCTCTTACCACTACACCACTACCGCATTTATTATAACTAATTTGTTTGAATTGTATATTTATTGTTAAATTTTTTAAATTGTATATTTATTGTTAAAAATTAGTTCAGTTGTTGCAGTCACAATACTTTTGTAGTATAATTCATAGCTGCAATTACCTAATAAAGATAAAGCAAAATAAAAACAATTTAAAGTTTAAAACTTTTATTTTTTGTTTTGAAATATCAAGACTTAACATAATATTTGATTTTAAAATGTTTTTAAATTAAGTTAAAAAAAATCCACAAAAAATTTGGATTTTTTGAACCAACCATAAATTGTACATTTTTTTTGCAAATGATTTTTTGAACCAACATTGTACATTTTTTGAACAAAAATTGTGCATTTTTTGAAAACCTGTAACCTAGTAACCTTTTATGATTAAAGTTGTGAGATTACAAAACCTCGTGATTGAAAGAGAAAAAGACTGTTTGGAAAGAAAGATTTCTGCTCATGAAAACAGAGAGTAGATAAAAAGGACTCAAGGAAAAGTTCTAGGAGAGTTTCCAAATAGTGATAAGTGTTTAAGTGAAAAGCTCTAGGAGAGCTTCCAAATACTGATTGTAATAATAAAATATATTTGTTTTTGCTTACTGTCTTTCTGAATATCTTTACTCAATATATATACATTTGCAATACCCCCGAGAGTATAATAAACAGTATCAACGTTATGTACAATATAATATATACAACACGCACAACATTCCTTCTGACGCAACACGTCAATAGTTTATATATAATACAATTATTTACACTAATTACAACACCCCTTGATCTCTAGATCACAAAGTCTGCATACTTATTCGTAAACTTCCGCACACGCGTCGATCTTCTGAGATTCAGGTTGTTCGCGGTGGGTTCTTCCGGTTCTCTCATAGACAAGTCAGCTACAATGGGAGCTGGACGAATGTCCGACATGTGTCTTGGCAATCCATTGATTTCCACCGAAACTCCTCATCCTTCATCTGAGACTCTTCCTCTATTCTATTCACTAGTAAATTTTGAATCAGGTGGTTTTACAAATACTTCTTGTCCTTGTGTGTAGTTGTGAAGAACTTCCTCGTTAGTTTTGGCAAAAATTGTGTGTGGTTTCCACTCATAGGGAAATATAGCTTTGTAGAGAAGCGATGTTTCCTCGCCATTTTTTCTGGGAGCCACGCTATACCAATATATCATTCTTAATGGATTTTTTCCACTTCTTGCTGCCATGCGCTTGATTGTGCGATGGTGACGTTCAACAATTCCATTTCCAGATGGCCTGTAAGCGCAACAAAACAGGATGGACACTCCCCATTCTGCGCATAATTCACTAACAAGTTTTGAGCAAAAGGTCTTGCTGTTGTCAAGAAGAACTTGCCACGGAGATCCTCTTTCTCGAAATATTTCTTCTAGATGGAAACACACTGTTGCTTCTTTCTCGTTTTGTAGCTTCCTCCAAATTGTAAACTTGCTTCTTTTGCCACAGTCAACGATAGACAAATAAATCTCTGGTTTATAGTGGGTAATGTCAATAGCTAAACGGTACCAGCTCTTTCCAACTTCAAGAGTTTCTTCTTCCCATCTGATTGGAGCAGGATCTACCGATAAATATCTTTTGCAACTTTTTACGACTGATTTAATGTCTTTTCTACAAACTCTCTCCTTCGGATATGTCTGTTTCATCAAATAAGGGTTCGATTTACTCCAAAGTGTTGAAGATTATGAAACGACTTCACATCAGGCGGTACAGTATTTGCTGTCATTGCAGAATGGTTTGAATGCAGCTAATTCTGTGGTACCCTCGTAAGAGCATCGGCTTTATTTTCTGCTGACTTAACCAGGAAAAGTTTTAATTGTAAACCGCACTCCTTCACAAGGTCTTCAATTAATGACAACCGGCGACGGACAAGTGGTTCTCCAAGACCGTGTACTCTAATGGGTTTATCACCAATGATTAAGGATTTCAACCAGCCAACAACAGTAGCCAAGTCATACTTTATGGTAATACATTCGAATTCCCATTTTGTTGCTAGATTGATTCCTTTTATCATAGCTTCTCCTTTTATCGGCTCACATTAACTCTGCGATATTAATGTGAGCCGCATCATCTTGTTTTCTCAGCCACGAGCAGTCTTCTACTATTTCCCCAGCCACTTCCAGAACTATGCCAACAGCTATGAACTATGCCAACAGAACTATGCCAACATGCTAAACTGCTTGCATCGCACCACACTGTTGCTTCAGAAGTGTTTTTTACGTTCCATGACCCATGAACGAGATCTTCCTTTGTAAGTCTTTCATTTAAACTGCTTACTAATTTGACAAAGAATTTGGCGAAGTTTGGTACTGCAAACATCGCCATCTGCAGTATGACTGGATACAAATTGATTCAGCTCCCGGTAGTTCATCACCGGACGTACTTTTAATTTGTTTCGTTGAATTACTGCCATCAACGGAATAATGCCATTTCATTTCCCTTCAAACGGTTTCAGCCATCCCTGTGCTATCCATTCACTTATTTCCATTGCGTACTCACTTTTAACGTCTTCAGAGATGTGATAGTTTGGAATTTTGTTTGTTAAAGTTGGTGGTTCCATCAGCCATTTCCAAGACACGCTCCAGCTGCCATTTTTGAATTCTGCTTTGTCAATAAGTCTTTATCAATCAATAAGTCTTTATCAATCAGCTTTTGAACAGTAGGCGTGGATACTTCATTCGTTTTTCCTTGAGAGACTGCAGTAGCGCCAACAGTTAGTTGCTCCACATTGAAGTTTATGGTTTCGTCGTCTCTCCCAACTTGGACACCTCTGAGCAGTCGTATTGCATCCATGCCAAGTAGCATTTGATATTTGGGAACAATGTCGGCAACCAGGCATTCCAAATCAATGGTGGTATCATTTATAGAAAGATTAACAACAGTCTGGTATTGTACTTCAATTGACTTTCCATTCATCATAACAACCTTTTCGTTTGACATTTTTTGGGTTTACAATATCCCAACTTAAAATTGATTTGGAGCATCCAGTATCTAACAATGCTTTTATTTTTCTGCCATTGACATATACGCGGAGAGTTAGCGGTTTTAAATTTTGTGGGAAGCCGCTCGCACAAAAACGGGTGGCTTCCCTTCCACGTTTTTTGAGTTCGTACACCTTTTATAGCAGTACTGGGCCAGGTGATTGTCCATTCCATACACAAAGCACCTCTTCTTCTCAATCTCTTTGCTGCAATTTTGACTGATATGTCTATCCTCACCGCAATGGTAGCACATTATGGTCTTTTTTCCGCGTCCTTTAGGAACCTGTCTTGAACTAATGGCAACCAGATTCACGCAACTGACAAAACATGATTCTTTGCGACGTAAAATTATCAAACTTCTGGATTTTTCAACTATCTGGCACAGCGACATTGTTGATATTGAGCATGCAGTTTGCAGCTGTTTTCTTACTTCGTCAGGTAATCCAAGAATAAATGCGCACCTTATCCACTCTTCGCTTACGTGAGATGATATTAGCTTGCTCAGTCTTGTTAATTCTGCAAGATATACATCAACAGACTCATTCTCTTTAAGACGGCGATTTACAAACTCTTCATATGCTGTTAGCGGAGAAGCAGAGAAGGCAGTTGTCAATGTAGTTTTCAATTCATTGTAGTCTTCTTTTATCTCATCACTTAGGCCTTGATAAACAGCAAACGCCCCACCAGAAAGAAATAAGGGGAGCACCACATGCAGCTCGTCAACTTTTTGAAGTTTTGCTACCAGTTCCAATTTCTGTATCCATTCTGAAAAATCACCCGAACCATCATATTGTGATACCAGATCCGCAAACTTTACAACGATACTCATTGCCGAAATAGCTTGTAATAATAAAATATATTTGTTTTTTCTTACTGTCTTTCTGAATATCTTTACTCAATATATATACATTTGCAAATACCCCCGAGAGTTTAATAAACAGTATAAACGTTAGGTACAATATAATATATACAACGTGACCACAACATTCCTCCTGACGCAACACGTTAATAGTTTATATATAATACAATTATTTACACTAATTACACTGATAAGTATTTTCCAAATAAGTGTTTTCCAAAATAGTTAGTGTTGAAAAGTTATAAAACTACTACAGGCAATAGAGACATAAAGATGAGTTCTGCAGATGTTCTCAGCATATGGAGTGACTTGTCAGATGACCAGTACCAACTAATTAGAAACAGTTTATTAACTCACCAAGCTAACATCTATACAACTCTACACATGTATTTGAAGAAATGGTAAAAATACAAGTTGTTTGCCTCCTACTAAACATACCAGAGCACATTTAGTCAAATTTCAGTATTAACAGTGCCAGGAGATCCTTCAGAAGTTTAGTGATGATGAAAGAGGTATTCTTTTTTCTGTAAAGTTTGGTTTAAAGAATCTAGCCAGATTTTGTATAAGCAAAACTGTGTAAATGAAAATTAATAGTTTCCTATAGGAGGGCTTGAAGAACGAGGAAACTATTAATTTTGTCTTTTTTCCACTAAAACTTGTTGCAAACATTAAAAAAATATGGTTGCAAACAATCCCCCTGAGTTATTTATAGTGAATAAAGTATTTCTGTAGACCTTTTAAGATTATCCTAAAAACAGTTTGTTCAGGTTTTGATTTAGACAAAGTGAAATTCAAATTGTTCTGCAATGAAACTGCAAATTTGATAGTAAAAAAATATTCCTGGTATACAATGCTTCAGCTGTACACAAATATGAAGGCATGGAACTTAGATTCTAAAATTTTTTAAACAAACCATTAGATTTCATTAAGAATCACAGGAAGCCTTAGAATAAATTTGCAATGATAGGTTAAATCACAATGCAAATATTTTAGGAGTTATGTCATGAAAATGCAGTTCAACAACCTCATTAGGTTAGACCCTATTTTATCTTTTTTATTAAGTAAAAATTAGAGTTCTAACTTTGCTTGTTATAAATTAATTGATATATATGTATATATATATATATATATATATATATATATATATATATATATATATATATATATATATATATATATATATATATATATATATATATATATATTTATTTATTTATATATATATTACCTGTATACTAATGTCTTGTTTGGTTTTGAAAATAAGCTTGTGTTTACAAAGATATATTTGGTTTGCTGAATACTTTGAACTTCATAAACCAAGAACTAGACTTATAAAATGTAAACAAATGTAAATTTGCCCAAATATGTATTGCCCTCTTGTAGTATGTTTGGCCAGAGTAGTAAGATATTACTTTTAACCTTTAAAAGTAAATTTCTCAACTTTTAAGTAGACATGTTGCACATAAAAGTCATGTAAACAGCACATTTAACCTCAGCATTAATTAAAATAGTTTAATTGATGTTGAAGTTAATGAAAAAGACAAATAGTTTTGTACATTTTCAGACCTCTTTGAGGCAATGTGGGTTGTGAAGAAAATGAAATAGTCCAAAACTGTTTATTCAATTTTTCTTGTTGAACCTTTTAAAAATTATTAAATATTTATAACTAAAATTAATAACAAATTTTTTTTGCCAAATCAATGTGCATATTATGAAGTTATTAGGAAAAAAAAATTCTTTTTTCTCTAAAAATTTTTATCCAATAGTTTTCTAAATTATCTATAATTCATTTATAAAAATTTAAAGAATATTGATGGACATAGTGAAAACTGCATTTAAAATTTCATCACACAACTGATCTAAACATTTTCATTCAATATGCTTACCAACTGAGCTATCTGGCCATAATTCTTTAAACAAGTTCTAAGAAAATTGTTTTCAATTTAATATCGATTAAATTACTTTTTTAGAACACTTCTTAACTATTTAACAACTTTACTTGTTAACAATTCCAACAAAAAAAATTTTTTCTGTATATGGCTTTTAATTTTGAAAATATCTTAAATTTAATTAAATTGTTCTAAGTATATAATATATTATAAATATATAAATACAAATATATAAATACAAATCAACCTTATATAAATATCAAACAATCTGTATAGAGAATTGATATTTAACATAGAGAACAAATAAAGAATTAACATAGAACATAAAGATATAACATAGAGAACAATGACATAAACAAGTTATATAGAAAAATAACATAGAGATTTAAAATGAAGAACCTCTAACATCAGCTGTTTTTTTATGAGAATAATTTCTTCCTTTATATATGAACATAGATCGTTCAATTCTGGTTTATTTCCAAAGTCACTATAATATAAACAATTTAAAAATAATTGCATTACCTCCAAAGAAACATTTTTATCTTCATATTTCTTTCTTGTTAATGTTTTTAGACCTTAGTTATTGTATTCTTTTCTTAATAAATATACATCTTTTTTAACAATATATTTTATTGTTAACTTTTTATTTAGAGAAAATTGGTAGATACTCACAGAAAAGTCTCTACAAAAAGTATTAAAATAAAAAAAAAAACCTGTAGTGTAGCTAATTAACACACAAGATTATTTCTGATAATCTTTTTAAATCTTAAAAAGGATACAAATAATTTTGCCTCAATAAAAATTTTAACACTTTAAAATTATTTTACAACAAAAATATTTATCGCATAATTAAATTTAAAAATTAATTTTAAATGAAGACATTATTTTTTCATGTTAAGTTTAAATTTTAGTATATGATATCATAAAATGAACATTCTGCATTGTAAACCTTTTAAAAACAATATATGTGTAGTTAAAAAAACCTTTTAAAAACAGTATATGTGTAGTTAAAAAAGTTTTGAAGAAGCGAGCACTCTACTACAACCGCATATGTAATATATAAGTAGTTGCAACTGCAGGGAATAGACATTTTATTAACTGTTAATTAAATACTGGAAAGAAAATGTTTTGAACAAAAAATATTTTCAGAGATGCAATTAAACCCTTAAACCTTACAGGGTCGAAAATATTTTTCTTTCTAGTGTTATTTTAAAAAGACTTTTTAATCCTAATTAGTCTAATTCAAATACTTGATGTTATTAAGTTCACTAAATCTGTATTCCAAAGAGTCTCTGATAATAGCTCCATTAAAATATTTGCGGAGCTATAACATATAACCTATTTTTCTGATGTTTGTAAAGTGATATTTTTAAATACATTTTTCTGATGCATTAATAACTCTTTTTAAAATGTTTTTTATTCTATTTTTGTATAATTTGATTTTCTGTATCACACAACTTTGTCTATAACTATTTTGTATAATTCCATTGTCTGTGGCACACAACTTTGTTTCTGATTATAAATAATGCAAGAAAAAAGCCAATAAAATAAATGCTAACCTCAACCACTTTGATAAACTATCCAACTTTTTAGAAGGATCTTCTTCTAAACCTACTATCTCATAAGACAATATCTACAGTATTAAATGAAAAATAATAATCAAAGGAATAAAATTAAAAAATTGTTTTTTATTTTAAAATCTTAAAAACTAATAAACTTTTCTTATTATTAGAAAAAAAAATTTTAAACTCTAAAGTGATTTTTTTTAAACCAAACAAACAAATTAATTAAGAAAAAATTCTTCAAAAAATTATTTTTATTATTTAATTATATTATTATATTAATACTATTACTATAATTTTTTTTTTTTTTTTTTTTTTTATTTGCATTCACTCCCAACAAGGCTGCAAGCAACCACTATTAAGTTGGGAGTTACAAGGAAAAAAAAAAGAACAGAGTTATAGAGCAAGGAAACGGTTGACAGAAGACATGAAAAGTTGAAGGTTGTATGAGTCAGGAAAACATGAAGATGGGAGAGAGTTCCAAAGGATTGAAGTGCGGGGAAAAAAACTAGATGAATAAAAGTTTTTAGAGCATGCAGGGACAGATACAGTAAACGAATGAGACTTCGCTGAATGACGAGTAAAACGAGAATGAATTTTAGTTGATGGAACTAGAGATGATAACTCCTTTGAGCAGTGACCAAGATAGTATCTGTAGAAAAGAGAAAGAGATGCAACTTTACGACGATGGGAAAGAGGTTCAAGCTTAGCAGATAGTCCAGGTCCAACAACATTTACAATGCGTTTTTGGACCTTGTCAAGAAGAGAATGTGAATCGTTAGAAGAACCAGCCCAAATATGACAACAGTATTCCATACAGGGACAAATAAGAGATTTGTAGAGCTAGAGAATGGAATCAGAAGTAAGGAAATGGCGAGCACGATAAAGAGAAGCAACCTTAGCAGAAGCTAATTTAGCAATCGATTGTATATATGGTTTCCATGAAAGGTCAGTAGTAAGCAATAATCCAAGAAGACGTAAAGAAGAGGACTCAGTAAGAGGATTGCCATTCATTAATATAGGAATGTTGACCATATTACGGTAGTTGTTTGCAGTAAGCAATTGGGTTTTTTTAGATTTGAAATTCACAAGCCACTGTGAACCCCAATCTATTACTGAAGTGAGATCAGATTCAAGATCAGCTGCTTGTTCTAGGCGATCAAAAAGAGAAGACTTTTTGTCAAGACAGGAGTATAAAGTTGAGTCATCAGCAAAAAGAGCTACTTTAGATGAAAGGTTGTCAGGAAAATCGTTTATGTAGATAAGAAACAAAACAGGGCCCAGGATGGAACCTTGGGGAACCCCAGAAGTTACTGGAAATAAAGAAGAGTGTTGGCCTTCAAGGATGACTTTAATAAACCGGTTAGAAAGAAATGGTTTGATAATCTCAAAAACTTTCCCAGAAACACCATATGAAGCAAGCTTATGGAGAAGACCAGCATGCCAAACTTTGTCGAAAGCTTTAGATATGTCGAGAGCAATAGCCCTAGCCTCACCGCCTCCATCTAATGCACGATAAAATCTTTCAGTTACAGCAGTTAGCAAGTCGGCCGTAGAGCGAGAGGATCAAAAACAGTATTGATTGTCTGACAGCAGTTTATTTGACTCAAGATGAGATGTGAGGAATTTGTTGATCAAAGACTCAAAGACCTTGCTAATAACAGAAAGAAGACTGATCGGACGATAATTGGAGGGGTCAGAATTTTTTCCAGAGTTTTTGAATATTGGAACCACAGATGCCATTTTCCAACAAGCAGGAAAACAAGACTCAGTCAAACACTTGTTAAATAGTTTAGAGAGAATTGAAGAAAGTTCTGGAGAACAATTCTGCAAGACTGTGACAGGAATGTTGTCTGGACCACAAGCTGTAGACGAGTTTAATTGAGATATGACTTTAGCAACAGAAGCCGGAGTGATTTGAATGTCTAACAATGGGTCAACCTGTTTGACTGGAATGGAAGGAAGAGAATGTCCATAAGATTCAAGAGTGGAATTAGAAGAAAAGTTCTTTGCAAATAGTTCTGCCTTATCCTTGGGAGAGGTAATAAGATCAGTCCCATGAATGAGAGATGGAATATTAGATCTACCCTTGTTAACAATACTGTTGAAGATTTTCCAAAAGTCTTTATAGCCTAACTTCTGCGATAAGATGCGAGATTTAGTGAACTGAGAATAATGGAGTTTAGCATCAGAAAGCACCTTTTTACATCGATTTCTTGCAATAATAAATAGCCGTTTGTTCTCAAGAGAGTTGTTCTTTTGATGAAAAAAATGATTACGATTGGATATAGCAGCCGCACAAGAAGGAGAAAACCATGGAGTCGAATGAGGCTTGACTTGAAACCGACGAGAAGGAATAAAAGCTTCCATTCCAGCCTGAATCCAGGAAGTTACGTAGGAGGTGCATTTGTCAGCTGAGAGAGAAAAAACATCAGCCTAAGGACTATCACGAAGAAAATCACGAAAGGAATCCCAGTCAGCTTTAGGGTAGTAGTAGGTGGTGCGATGATAAGGTGAGCCCAAAAAAGAAGTACGAGAAGAAAGATTTATAGAGATCATTGCATGGTCAGAACCACCTAAGGGAGAAAAGGGAGAAACTGAACATAAGCTAGGGTCAGAGACAAGACATAAGTCAAGGAGTGAAGGTAAATGATTAGGGTTGTCAGGAAAACGAGTCACAAAATTTAGGGTTGTCAGGAAAACGAGTCACAAATTACTATTTAATTATTAATTAATATACTAATTATTTTTATTATTATTTACTTTTGTATTATTATTTACTATTATTTACTAACTATTTTATTAGTATATTTACTTTTTCTTTTGAGTCACATTGTTTATTGAATGCTTAAAACTTTGTGCTATAAAGTACTTTGAACAACAGATAAGTCAATGATTCCAAAGAAAAAAAAAGAAAAAAGAAAAACAAATTCACTTGCCGCAGCTTCCTCTATTAAGAATGAAGATCTAAATAAGTCAAAATAAAAACATGACAATTTATTAAAAGAAAAAAATTTATCAACATTAAACTCATTAAATACTTACAAATAAAATTCTTTAAGCTTTTTCCATTCTTTAATTTGGCGTAAATAGTGAATATAAATATTTGACGCTATTAATATTTGTTGAATTTCAGTAAAAAGTATACCTATTGCAAAAAAAAAATAAACCTATTACAAAAAAAAAGTATACCTATTGCAAAAAAAAAAGTATTTCTATTGCAAAAAAAAAAAAAAAAAAAAAAAAGCTATGGAATAAAAAAAAAACAATTGATTTTAAATATAGAAAATTTTTGATTTTAAAAAACAAAAATTTATCAATATTGATGAGCAGAAAATTATAAATTAAAAACGCAAAGTTGGTGTCAGGAGTCTATGAGTTTTTCTTTTGTCTGGAGTCTGAGATATATTGGGACTTTAAAGTATTCATATTTTCAGGTGAAAGAAGAAGATAAAAACAACATAAACTTTCAAGATAAATAAAGAAGATAAAAATAACATAAAATTTTTAAATAAAAGATAAAAAACAATTTTTTAAGATAAAAGAAGATAAAACATTTTTTAACTCCAATTAGTTTGTACACATTGATCAAATATGAAAACTGAGTTACTGAAAAGTTCAATGAAAATGCATTACAACATTTTATTCTAAAATGCATTCAATTTATAAATAGCCATGTTAACAATAATTTTAATTTATAATTAGTCATGTTAACAACTTTTAAATAATCATGGTAACAATTTCTAATGTATGTTTATGTTATACAACTTATGTAATTTTAGGAAGTATATAACAAGAAGTAAATACTTTAAATGTTTGCATATATGTTCTTGTCTTTATATTTTTATTATTTATATTATTTACACCATTCTGCTAATTATCTGGTATTCTGTACAAATAAAAATGTAAATTGTAAAAATAAAACTGTAAATTTAAAGTTATATGCTTTAATAAATCATACCTGAAATAAGAAAAGGTAGCAAAGTGTAAGGAAATCTCATGTAAAAAAAAAAACTTGCTGAAAAAATCTTACATGACACTTATCCTTTCATTAATTCATTCTTTGAGTAATTTCAAAAAAATCATATTTTAAGTCACATTTGAGTAATTTCAAAAAAGTCACATTTTAATGTGATTCAATCACAGTCACATTTTAATGTGATTCAATCACAGTCACATTTTAATGTGATTCAATCACAGTCACATTTTAATGTGATTCAATCACAGTCACATTTTAATGTGATTCAATCACAGTCACATTTTAATGTGATTCAATCACAGTCACATTTTAATGTGATTCAATCACAGTCACATTTTAATGTGATTCAATCACAGTCACATTTTAATGTGATTCAATCACAGTCACATTTTAATGTGATTCAATCACAGTCACATTTTAATGTGATTCAATCACAGTCATTAGCAAAAAGATGAAGATATCAAGAAGTCGATAGATATACAAGTAACTAGTATCATCAGCAAAGAGATGAAGATATTGAGAAGTGGATCGATATACAAGAGATTAGTATCGTCAGCAAAGAAATGAAGATATTGAGAAGTGAATAGATATACAAGAGATTAGTATCATCAGCAAAGAGATAAAGATATTGAGAAGTGGATAGATATACCAGTGATTAGTATCATCAGCAAAGAGATAAAGATATTGAAAGTTGTTTAGATCATTAAAATAAGCTAAAACAAAAAAAAAACAAGAACAAAACCTTGAAGAACACCACACATAACAGATTTATAACTAAAGTTATAACTATAAATACTTACAAGTTGTTTCTGATCTAAAAAACCAAAATCAAAAACAGTCACTTACAACACTACAGATTTCTTAATGTTCTATTTTTTTTGCTATGACCAATTGTATTACTAGATTTTTGTAAATCAATAAAAACACTACAAAATAACAATCAAGGGCTTTTCTCATTTTTTAGAAAGTAGCAAGTTGTTGGAAAACCAAATAGAAACTCATTTTAACAGTTAAAAAAAAAAAACATTCTAGAATTAAAAAAGTTAAATAAATGAAAAATAGGTTTATAGTTGTTGCATTTATAATTTAGAGCCATTTTTAAATCTTAGAATAACGTAGTTTCAAAATATCAGAAAAAATTATATTTATGAATAAAATATTAAATAGTTTAAAAACTATTGAGAAAATAGCTTCAATTTAGATGAAACATCAAAAGTATATTTTTTTTAATCATGTAAACTTGTATATTTAAGATATTTGTACAGCATTTATGATTTCTTTAATATCCATGGTAACATTTAAAGTTTTATCATTATTCCTTTTACTAAAACAAATTTTATCTGCAGGACTTCTAAAATCAAGACTAAAGCAATCTTCTCTAAATTGGTGTCAAAGTTTCAGATTACAAAAAATGACTGCAGGATCTGCTTTCTTTTACTGAGAAGAAAAATAATCTTGTTGTTTGCATCTTTAGATTAAGATTATGTCTCAATTTCAACAATGATCCAACTGAATGGAAATTATTTATAGACTCATCTAAGTTAAGCTTGAAAGCTGTATTATAGTTAGCTGTATAAATTGCACAATGGAAACCACATTCCTTCTGCTCCTATTGGCCATGCAGTTCATATGAAAAGAGACTTTTATAAAAAATGAAAACACTCCTTAACTCAACCAATACAAATGGAAAATTTGTAATCTAAAAGTGATTGCTATACTTTGAGGAATAAAATTAGGGTATATTAAGTATGCTGCTTTTTGTGCATAAGGGACAGTAGAGACAGAAGGTCACATTGTATAAAAAAAGACTAGCTTGAAAGAAATCTCAACACAAATAAAAAAAAAATATTATTGCTAAACCATTTGTGGATCAAAAATCTTTTTCTGCCCATAACTCTTTTGCACCAAAATGGGTCGTTAACAATCCTGTAGTAATAAATCAATAATTGAAGATTTTTTGAGCTGAGCCATTAATCAAAACTACTTGATTTTATGCTTTTAAGGCTCAGCTTCAAATTTAGCTAAAACTAACTTTTGAAGCTCCATAATAGAAAAAAGGGGTCCATAAATAACGCCACACTTTAGGGATGGGGGGAGAGCAGGGAAGGAGCGAGGATGTTAGTGGTTTATTGACAACTCATATGTAACTTGTTACTAAGGTGTTACGATGTTGTGACAAGGAGAGGGGAGGGGTCTCAAATAGTAAATGACCCCTAAGTTGACAGTTTATTTAAAGTGTTTGATTTTGAGTTAAATTTTTTTTTTTGAAAATTCATGTGATTATAATGTCCACTATCACTGATATTTAAATTTTTTTTTAAAGATTCATAATGTCTATGAGTATCTTTTTAAAAATGTATAGTTTTGTAGCGTAAATTTGATGCCTTTCATGGTATAAAACTGTTTTTTGTGGTATTATATTTAATTAAATTTTTGTGGTCCTGGCTAATTTTTTGATAAATTTTGATATCTTAAAGATTTTTAAGTGCTTAAGCATTCTATTTTTATCTATTTTCTTTACAGAATGTATTTTTTAATTTTTATCTATTTTCTTTACAGAATGGGTAGTAGCTTTAAGTCTTGATAACAAATATATTAACTTTTTTTAAGGTATGAAGCCTGATTTTTTTTTTGTATAAAAAAAAAAAAAAAGTTCTCAAAAGTCACGTGATTTTTGTATCCGCCATCATTGGTATTTCATTTTTTTTAAAAAAGAGATCTCTATTTATTTATTTTTTTGTAAATATATAGTTATGGGGTGTAAATATGATGCCTTTTATCCCTAATATATCATTTTTAGTATAGTATTTTTATTTTTACTGTTTACAAATATTAAATATAGGTGTGAAAGAGTTAAATATTAAAAAGAGTTAAGCTGGGTTCAATGAAAAGTTTTTTCAAAGGTATAAATAAAGAATAACAAACTTTTAGGTATTAAAGAAGCAAATTTCCAAAAATAAGTGATGCAAAAGCAAAAAGAAAGCTTGGGAAATCAAGATTCATTACCTCCACTCTAGACTAGATCACTCCACCTAGACTTCGTTCCCTCCTGTTAGTGAAAAACATGGGGAAGGTTCCACCAAGGTGTAATAGAACAAAGATATCAGGGTTGTTGGAATGAAGTTATGTTTGATTATGCAGATTACTGTTGGTTTGTGGGAAGGGTTGCTCCAGGACTCCAGAAACCAAAATGATCCTGATCTCGTGACAATACCCCATAATCATCTTTGTACCTACTAGCTTAATGATTATAATTTCTTAGTTTAAAACTATTAGAATGTATCTGCGTAAAAAAAATAATTAAAAAAACAAAACAAATGTACTTTAAATATTATCAGAATAGGTAAAATATAAATCCTAATGCTCTATATATCCTACCATGTTTTGCTCAAAATGTAGCAAACTGTAACTGTGTTATGAAAATAATAAGTAAAATTTATATTTATATATGTAGTTAAAATTTAGTTGCATTATTATAGTAACTATAAAATTTAAACCTGAATACTGATATAACCAATATGAGTGATCAAAGGGAGAAAATGTGTTTTATAAGTAAAAATTAGTGAAAATCAAAAATGGAAAAATCTTGTCACTTTAGGTTGAATGTGGTTTGATAAAAATTGTTTTTAACACGCTGAAGATGTTTCAATTAAAAAAAGACAATGCAAAAGAAAGCCCAGCCATGTTCTATTTAAGGTTTGAGCACAAATGGATTAGGAAACACTTTAGCTTTAGAAACTTTTAGTTTAAAGCAACTCATTGTCCCTATCAGTAAAACTGAGGTTAAGAAATCTTTTCTTAGATAAACCAAGAGTTTATCTTCCTTTTCTTAGATAAATTGAACAAACTATTTTAATTATATTTGTACCTAAAAGTACAAAAGTTAAAGTTTTGATGCTCATAAAACCATTTAAAATATATTTTTAAAAATAACTTATTTATGATATCTTTTATGATTGAAGTCATAAAGGTCTTAATCTTAAACAAAAGAAAAATTTTATCAAAATTTGATAAAATTTAAAATCTGTTGATGATCTAATTTATGATTGAACTTAAAAAAAATCTTCTGGCCTAAACTTTTTGCAAATCATCCTCATTTGACATTTGACATTTGATATTTATCAACACATTAGAAATTTGAGTATGCCTTATGCCTTCCTAGTTTTTTTATAAACAACAAAATTCCAGAACACTTGCCTAAAATACATAACTTAACCCAGGCCCCTGTTGAAAAAAGTTAATTTTTAGTTTTTGGAATTTTCTGATAATAAACTCAAAACAAATTTTCTGGGGATGTGTTGTAAGGTCTTCATTTTTTTAGGGATGTGATGCAAGGTCTTCATTTTTTTAGGGATGTTGCAATGTCTTAGATTTTTTCATAAGAATCTAAAACACAAGATGAAATATAATCAATAATTTAAGTAAAAACATAAATTATTTGAATTAAATGAAAAGATGAAAATAGTAGAGGGAATTAAATCATTATTCAAAATAAAACTTTAAACTCATTGTCTGCTACATCTTTTTTTTTTTTTTTTTTTTTTTGTTATTTACATCTGCTAATATAAAAATATAAAACATACACAGTATAATTTAACTTATTACATTTAGGTTTTTTTTACACATTATAGAAATTGTAAAATTTTTTTTAAACTTTACACATTAAGATCCAAATTCATATTGGTTGTAAGTGTCACACAACTCTTGATAATATATTTAAGGTTTGTTAGAAAAAATCTAATAAAAATGAATTTAGTAACTACAATTTGAAATTGTGTTGATTCTGTTCCTTTTTTATTTACTGAATATCACTTGTCCTCATTGCAAACTTTATATAGCTCTATAAAAGGGAGTTTATTTGGGCCTGTATTTCTTTTACTACTGGGGATAGACATGATTAACTATTACCATTTCTTCCACTAAGTTATTTACTTTTACATTAGACATCTATCCAATTGTTTCAAAACTTATTCAACTCACACTAACTCTAATATAACTTTGTCTTTTGTTTCCCTTCAGCTTTATGGCTGTATGTATTTCATAAAGTAACAGAACATCTAGTTGCAAAGTTATCAAAGAGTTTTGTTACATAAATCAAGAACAATATTTATTTGGTGTTCTTAACTGCCTCATTTTTCAAAAATGATTCACACAAAATTTACTGGTACGGTCTTATAGGTGATGAACAATCTGAAAATGTAGAGAATTTTTTAACAAAACAAAAGTAGTTCACATTTTAGACAATCTAATCAATAATTACCCAGGTCAATGGTTCACTGATTCCATAATGTTACATATTTTTTATAATTGATTACATATTAGCGGTTAAATATATTGAAAAAAAATTATTTTCAGGCGCTTAATGTCATTAATCAATTAGTTTAGACGTCATCATCAGGTGAAACATGTCAGTATCAGTTTAGACAAAATTATAAAAAAAAAAAAAATTTATTTACTTCTTAAAGTAAATAATTAGTTAATTACAAGCATATGATAAATATATATTTATATGATTTTGAATGAATATTATTAATGTTAATTCTAAATAAATTATTATTTAAACAGATATATTATTGAACTCAAAATAAATAAAATTTATATATGTAAATAGTTGCTAGAAACGGGGAGCCACGTGCATGCCTAAACCTAATATTTATTAAGTATACGTAATATATATACTTTTTTGGATTTCCTAGCTTCACTTCACTTCTCATAATAAATAAAATTTATATATTTAAATGACTGCTGAATACGAGCGTCACGGGATTGCTAAATTATCTAGTGCCTAAATAAAAATAAATGCGTCAAAAAAGAATCTAAATACTATTAAATACAATAGCTATTAGACTTTGAAATAGTAACTCAATACACCACAGTATTTAATGTAATTGTTTTACATCACAGCAATACAATACAATAACTTTAGTGCTTCAATGTATTGTTAGAAAAAAAAAACAACACAATAGTTATTGTAACTGTTTTTATTCACAGCAATACAATAACCATAATGTTTTAATTGTATCTCTAGTATTACAATACAATATTATTGTATTGTAATAGTTATTGTATTTAATTTTTACAATAACAATAACAATAGTCCTAACCCTAGTTAGATTGTTGTGTAACTCAAAAAAATTAGTATTAAGAGCTATAAGTGTCAATTCAAGCCATGGATTACTAAAGGAATAATAAAATCAATTCAAATTGAAAATCTTATTTAAGAGAAAATGCTAAGGATAAAAGATCCAACAAATATAATTAAAATAAAAACTATCTTTAAACGCTATAAATATACCATAATTAATCTAATAAAACTGAGTAAAAAGTTCATTTCATGAAATTTTTTTTAGAAAATGTGAAAAAACTTAGTGAAACCTAGAAAGACATAAAAAGTCTAATAAATGTCAAAAATGTCAATAATGTACCTCCAATTGCTTACAAGTTAACGAAACATACATAACTAAACCAATTTGAATCTGCAAAGAATTCAACAACTTTTTCACAGATATAGCTCATAAACTTAATTCTAAAATTTACTTATCTTACATTAGTTATAAAAAGTAAGCAATTTTTCAGTCTTATCTCACAATCAGGTTTGGGGACAAATTGGCAACTGTAATATTAATAAACTGTTATCAGCTCAGCGCCAACCAATCTGAATAATACATTTTTAACTCCAAAATACAGAAGCTTCAAACTTCTTCAAAAAACTTAAAATCCCTATGTTGTCAGCACTAGTTAGATTTGCTAATCTTCTTTTTGTTTTTCACTCCCTTAATAAAAATTTACCTTCCTATATGACAACCTTCTTCACTGAAACATGATTTATACATTCACATTTAACTAGAAACATCAATAATGGAAAACTAAATGTACCTCCCTATAAAACTTTGAAGTATGGTAAGTATTCAATTACACATCAGTGCATCAGTGGAATCAAAGTCTTGTGTGCATTGTGAATGAGTTTAAAAAATTAAAACTTAAATAATTTAAACAAAATTCTAATTTAAACAAATTCTATAATTTAAACAAATTCTAAAAAAAATTTATTTCAATATTTTTATCATTATTTACTTTTTTAAGTTTTCTTATTTTACTTTTTCTTCTTACTATTTTTATACAAACTTTATTGTTTTTGTCATTACTATATATTTTATTGTTTTTGTCACTATTTTTTTCATTATTGCTATTTTTATTACTACTATTATTATTATAATTGTAATAAATACTATTGTTTTTGCTGTTAATTTTGCTCTATTAATGAATAAAGTTCTTATTGTTATTATTATTATGTTTTAAATTAATATTATTAATATAATTATTTGGTGTCACTCTTTTGATCAGGTTTCTGCATGAGTGACTCCTTCCTTGTCAATTATTTATTTATATTTATTCTTAATAATAATATTTTGGTTTTATTATTTTTATATTATAGATATTCTTGTTATTATTAGTATTATTATTATCATTACTATTATTATTATTATTATTATTATTATTATTATTATTATTATTATTATTGTTGTTGTTGTTATTATTATTATAATAATAATTGTTATTATAATTATTGTTAATATATTGTTGTAATTAGATGATTGTAAATTTTGATGAAAATAAATAATAATAATTATAATCATTATTAATATTACTATTAATATATTATTGTAATGAGGTGATTGTAAATTTTGAGGAAAATAAATATCTTGCTGATGTTGTTGTTGTTGTTGTTGTTGTTGTTGTGAGACTTGTGTAAGGGTTTACCCATTGTGAGCATTTTTATAAAAAGAGTATATGCTAACAATATTTGACCTTTTTTTTTTTCTACATTAATTTTTTTACATTTTAAATTAATTCTTTTTGTTATAATCAATTTATTTAAAAAACAATAAAAGTAGAACTTACTCTGATGCAGAGTCCTTTCCATGAAAATTATCACCTATTAACATAAAAATGGTAAAATAATCTTAAAAACTTTATAAAATTATGATTAATTTAAATAAGTCAATAAATTAATAAAATAATAAGTCAATTAATAAAATAATAAGTCAATAAACTTGTCATAAATTGTCAAATAGCCATTGTGTGCTGCTACATAAAAAATTAAATGTTTATTAACGTTTTCTTTAAAACTACACAAACTGTAGTTTTAAAGAAAGCGTTAATAAACCAAACCGGAAAAAGTTTAAAAACTTTAATAATTTTGTTTTTTTCTTAAATGATATACTGCATGCCCAAACCAAACCCTCAGTCAATGTAGCAGCACTCCCTTGCAAGTCAGGCTATTTTTCAGTCAATCTAGCACCACTCCATTGCGAATCAGGCTATGAGATAGTCGATGTAGCAACACTCGCTTGTAGCAGCAGGCTATAAGATAGTTGATGTAGCAACACTCGCTTGTAGCAGCAGGCTATAAGATAGTTGATGTAGCAACACTCCGCACATATTTTAAAAATATATTTAAATAAAACATAAACATCATTAATTAAAAATAACTTTCTAGTCATTATTATTGTGGTTTTTTTAAAAAACAATAAAATTTGATGTACTTCCGCATTAATTTAATTGTTTTGATATTTCAACAACAATAAAATGTAGATTAATTGTTGAGGTAGCAAAATAAACTTACAGTAGAATTAAAAAGATATGTTTACCGTATAATGCAACATCAAACAACATAATAGCATAAAATAAGTAACTATTTTTAAAAGTAACACGAAGTAATTATTTTTAAAAATAATGCATACTGTAAAGTTTGTTTATTAAGTGAGGGACTTTCCCATTTAATGTTGAGGGCTTCTTTTATCTTTAATTTGTGTTAGGTTGGGGAATTATCCAAATTCTCAAAAAAATCACAATTAGCTAGATTCTTGTAGTTAATAGATAAATTTAAGTGTTTAAATATATGAGATTGTTTATCACTTTTATCGTGCTCATTTATTCTAGTTGCCAAATGTCTCTAGGTTTCTCCAATATAATGGCATTACAGCCAGCGCAAGAAAATTTATAGACAACATGAAGTTTAGGCAATTTAAGAACTCTTTTAAGCAAAAAGAATCTTGTATTTTATTAGTAGTGAAAATTAATTTTATTAGAACATCTTTGCAATATTTATGAACAATTTTTGAAATTTTCATTTTAGTGTAATTAGAGTACATTCTAATGTATGGAAGCCTAAAATATCTTATATTTAAAAATGTTAGAAACAGATGGGTTCATTTTCTTATCAATATAGGATTTAATTTCAGAGTCAATAATTTTTTGTGGAAATTTACTATTTTGTAAAACTAATGATAGGTTCTTAATATGTTTATCAAAACCAACCCAAGTATTATTAATTTTAAATGTACAATCAATCAAACAGCGAACAAGTCCAAATTTGTAGCAGGAGGGAATAAAACTAAAAAAATTTTGTAAAAGACCTGTATACGTTTTTGTGATAAACTGATGTCGAAAAAGAATTGGATTTTTTATAAGTACATCTAAAAAATCTGGTTTAAAAATCTGGTTATCTTGCTCTTTTTCCATAGTAAATTTCAAATTTTTATGTTGTTTATTGAGGTGTTTGAAAAATTCTTGAGCTTCATATTCAGAATTAAAAATAGCAATTATGTCACTTACCGTTTATAAAAAAATGGTGCTGTAAAGGAGCAGTTATTGATCCATGTTTGTTCATGAAAAAAGTCCCTCACTTAATAAACAATCTTTGCATTATACTATAAATTTATCTTTTTAATTTTACTGTCAGTTTATTTTTTTTTGTTTTGACAGTTGATTCTTTTGATTGGTTATTTACCGAGTTATTTTGCAATAACTGTATTGGTTTATTATGTATAATTTTTGTTTGCTAATATTTCTGTGTAAAGACTTTTTTATTGTAAAATAGTCTTTTGAAAATGTAAATAAATTTTACGAAACATGTCAAGAATAAAAAACTTCGTGTTATTTTTAAAAATAATTATTTTATGCTATTATGACATTCAAGATACATATATATATATATATATATATATATATATATATATATATATATATATATATATATATATATATATATATATATATATATATATATATATATATATATATATATATATATATGGCCGGAAAGTAATTATTTGTCCAGGTTGCACGATTTTAGAAAATATTTATTTTTTGTACCTCTTTAATTAGAATTTGATTAAGAAAAAAGATTTGTTTCAATTTAATAAAGACAATTGAAATTTTTTGGCGAGTACTTAAGAAGCACTAGCTGTAGTATTGGTGGGTGTGTGGGCGAGCGTAAAACTACAAGAACACTCGGAGAAGACTGATATGTATATATGTATATATGTGTATATATATATATATATGTATATATATATATATATATATATATATATATATATATATATATATATATATATATATATATATATATATATATATATATACATATCAGTGCTCGAAATAATTATTCAAAGGTTGCAGATCAACATTGATTGGATGAAATAAACAAAATTAAAAACCAGACGATCAAATAATTTTTTAGACGATCAATTTTTTATTAAATTTTACTAAAATTTACAATACATCATTTTATAACTTTTATTTCATTATAATTTTAATTATTCTCTTTAGAATTTAAGTAAATCGTTCGTTTTGCCCTTTTGAATTTATTAATTTTATCTTGAATTTAAGTATATGTTGGTTTTGCCGTTTTTCTTTTTGTATTACTTTGAGTATATATGAAACATTGCTGTTTTTATTTTAATTTTTTTATATATTTTTTTTTTTAATTATCTTCGCTTCCAACAAGGCTGCAAGCAAGCACTAATTAGTGTTGGAAGTTACTGGAAGAGAAAAGATGAAGATTGGAGAGCAAGATAACGATTGACAGACGACTTAAAAGATTGCAAATTATATGAATCAGGAAAGCAAGATGAAGGAAGTGAATTCCAAAGAACTGATGTTCGAGGAAAAAAACTAGACGAATAAGAGTTTTTGGAGCACTTAGGAACAGTAACAGAAAAAGAATGAGACTTGATTGAATGACAAGTAACACGAGAATGAATTTTAGTAGATGGCACAAGAGACGCTAGCTCCTTCGAGCAGTGCCCATTATAGTATTTGTAGAAAAGAGAAAGAGAAGCAATATTACGACGATGTGACAGAGGTTGAGGGTTGGCTGCAAGAGCAGGTCCAACTATGTTTACAATGCGTTTTTGCACCTTGTCTAAAAGAGAAAGGGCATCATTAGAAGATCCGCCCCAGATATGGCAACAGTATTCCATACAGGGCCGGATTTGAGATTTATAGAGATAGAGAATAGAATCCAGAGTAAGAAAGTGACGAGCTCGATAAAGAGATGCAACTTTAGCAGATGCTAATTTTGCAACAGATTTGATATAAGGTTTCCAAGAAAGATCAGAAGTAAGAGTTAATCCTAGAAGATGAAGGGTAAGAGACCCATCAAGTTACCATTCATAAATATAGGAAGGTCTGAATTATTGCGATAATGATTAGCTGAAAAAAATTGAGTTTTATCTGAGTTAAAGTTCACCAGCCACTGTAAGCCCCATGCTGTAGCAGAAATGAGATCCTTTTCAAGCTCAGATGCCCCCTGCAAGCAATCAGAGGGAGTTGGCTTCTTATCTTGAAAAGAATAAATGGTAGTATCATCAGCAAACAATGCCACCTTAGATGTGAGAATATCTGGAAGATCGTTAATGTAAATTAAAAAGAGTATAGGGCCAAGGATTGAACCTTGGGGAACCCCTGAGGTTACAGAATAAGAAGAAGAGTGCTGTCCATCAAGAACAACTTTTATACTACGATTGTAAAGAAAGGATTCAATAATCTTAAAGATGTTTCCAGATACACCGTAAGAAGAAAGCTTATGGAGAAGACCAGCATGCCAAACTTTATCAAACGCTTTAGAAATGTCAAGAGTGATGGCCTTAACCTCTCCGCCTTTATCTAATGCGCGATAAAACCTATCGGTTATTACTGATAGCAAATCAGCCGTAGAACGAGAAGATCGAAATCCATATTGATGATCAGAAAGTAGGTTATGAGATTCGAGATGAGAGATTAAGTGTTTGTTAATTAAAGATTAAAAAAACCTTGCTTATGATAGGAAGAAGACTAATGGGACGGTAGTTAGATGAATCAGATCGCTCTCCAGAAGTTTTAAAAATAGGGATAACAGATGCTGCTTTCCAGCAGGCTGGAAAACAAGACTCTGATAAGCACTTGTTAAATAGTTTTGAAACTTGGTGATGACTGTGGTTTTTTGTGTTTTATAGTTTTTGTTACTTTATTCATTTTTAGATTTGTTAAAGAACTTGACTCGAAACATAGATAGTACTCAGTACACTGTTTTATAGCTCAAGTAATTGCCTCATTTCCACTAATAAACCCTAAGCCGTAACAAAGGGCTCCAATGTGGCCTAGGCAATGCACACCAAAAGTACAAACAGGGACACTATCCATGCGCAACATGGCACTGATAGTACTCTGATATTTTTCAGCTGTTGATGGAATCAGCCTCTCTGAGAGCTACCACAGAGTTCGGGAAACCTGACTACCAGCCGGCCTCAGAACTATAAAACTGAGTTTTAGAGCTGTACCCTCATTAGGAGATAATAGAATGAGTTGCCTAGTCAAAAAAATAGAGACAAAAGCAAAACTCATGCATAGAGTCAAGAAGATCCAGGGTTCAACATCCTAAACTGGAACCAATGCATTAAAAATACATCTGCGCCAGCCTAATAGATGAGGAAGGGGTGCGAGGCTGGTCAACAGATAGAATCTGTTTACCCCTTATTTAGAGTTTGTATATATTGTCTGTTTTGCCATATTTCTTTTTAATTGTTTTAATTTGAGTATAAGTAATACATTTTCATTTTAATTATTTATTTTTGGAATTTAAGTTAACATTAGTTTTGCTATATTTAT